CTGTAACGGGACTATAAACTAATACAGATAAAAATGTTTTATCCATTAAGCTCGACTTGTTGCAATAACAAGTTCAAGGAATTGACTACAATGAGATTGTCTCACCGTAGCAATGCTTAAAGTTGGTTCGGGTTAAACTAGCAATTAATACATATTTCAAAACATGAGATATGAAACATGGATGACAAAAGAATTTCCATGAAATGGAAATACAAGCTAGGACTTGTATGTGATACAATCCAAAGTATTTTGTCGGTCCAGAGGATGCTAGTAAGTATGCTAGCTTCAGAGTTCCAGCAATGGACAGAAGAGAGAAAAATGGAGTTGGAATCTTCATTTTTGATGGAATGGTCAAAGGGGTTTGACTTCATCAATGGGTAACGAAGATGCTTGTGGTTTCAAGAAACTAAGTGGGAGCATAATAATATTTCTGAAAACCTTGTGTGCTTGACACATTGTTAATTGGAAATAAATTTCTTGACACGAATTAGGACTTCATTTGAAAATAGTTTTTTGATGAAGTGCTTGGGCTAAATATCCTTGATATTAGGCATAATGATCTATGGAGATAGATTTACCTAATAGGGCTAAGCAAAAATACATATCGACACGATACTAAAACCATTTAGCAGTAAGAACGACAAGGAGTGATTCTAGCCAAAGTCGCATGGAAAGAGTTTTTGCAAGAATCGGTGTCCCAAAACACTGATGAGCAAAATACATGATGGAGATTCCACACACTCATGTGTTCGGATTAATCATGTATTCCATGGTATGGAAAACAACCAGATATGTCCAATACTCCCAAGCTGTTGCGAGTATAGATACCAAAGTGATCAAAAGTACTGATCATGGGACAATAGTGAAAAAAGGATCATTGAGTACTAAAGTAGCACTGATGACATGTTTTCTCGCAAGTGGAGATCATGAAGAGTTCGTTGTAAAAGGTTACATCGATACAATCTTCATCATTTCACCATGCGATTTTTGATTTAAATTGAGGGTTTTGTGTAACACACAATATGGTTGTGCAGTTAGTTGGAAATTGTTCCAAACAACTTACTGTGGCGAATTCTATAACAAAGGCGAAGTATGTTGCCGATTTAGAGCGACAAAGACAAAGATGTTGAATCATATAGTTCATTCATGGACTTGGTATGGTTCCAAGAAGGCTTTGGTCAATGGGACACTATTGTAGATAGTTGCTCCATAACTCAGTCTGAGGAATCAGGTTTCGACCAATGATTCACATATATACAAAGCCAAGTCCACACAAAATATGAATTTTGTGAAAGCGTGAAAACGCGAGGATATGCAGAGATACACATGGAGCTGAAGTTGTCAGATCCGATGGACATCAGGCTATACCACATGTGAAGCATTTTTTACACCGGTATGCCATAGGTGTAAAGTGCACTAGCATTAACTGGATTATTGACTCTAGTGCAACTGGGAGTCTGTAGGAGATATGCCCTAGAGGCAATAATAAATGATATTATTTATCTCCAAGTTCATAATTATGTTTATGTTCCATGCTATAACTGCAATGAATTCTCGAGTTTGCAATATCCACGAGGCTCGGAGGGAGACTCATATGCACGTGTGGAATAATAAACGGTAAGAAGTATTCCTAGTCTGGCCTCTAAGACTAGCTCAAGTGTTGCATGATGGTTCTGTTTACCTGATCATGGGCATGTCTATGCCATCAACTTTGAGGGCACAATGTTAAGAGAACATTTGTGTTGAATCGACCCGGATTGATGTTATGCTATGAGATTCATTCGTCACAAGTTAATGGTACATAACACAGAGATGGTTAACGTTTGCATGATTCCTTAGACCGTGAGAGTATCAAGTTTCTTCATGCTTGCTTCATGAACTTTGGGGTTTGTTAAACGTCATCTGTAAATGGGTGGCTATTACGGCGGCTTACGGGTTCATGGAAAAGTATGTCAAGTAACTTGATAGCTCAAGATTGGGATTTGCTCCTCCGACAATGGAGAGATATTCTCGGGCCCTCTCGGTGTTACGGTATCCATAATCGTCTGGCCAGACACCTTGTGATTTGATCACTGGGATGCCGAAACATGGAAACGAGAAAAGAGAACAAAACCGGTAACAAGGTAACTTGCATGGTGGACAAATTGTTCGTCCACGGGGATGCAATAAATCTCACCTCGGGTGTTTGTGACATATCGCGAAGCAACAGGGATAGCTCACTGCAACTGGAGGTTCACTCGAATATTCATTCGTGTGGGTATAGGGGTCAATATGGGTGTCCACGGCTCCGATGTTGATCATTGATCGGAAGTGGTTCCGTGTCATGTCTATACTTCACCGAACCTATAGGGTCACACGCTTAAGGGTCATCTATCTGCTGAATACTAGACAGGGAGTCTGAGAGAAAATCACCGAAAAAGTTTCGGATAGTGGAAAAGTTCCGCAGAGAGAGGTCATCGAATGAGTTTCGGTGAAACCGAAAAGTTGTTTTGGGATATACTATTAAGTCAAATTGGTTTCGGCACATGCCTGATAATTCTTGGAGGGTGCCAGAGTCATTCTGGAAACTTTCTGGAATTTTTCAGGATAAAAGCTGGAATTGCTCCAGAGCTGCCGGAACCACTTCAGATGCTTTTCGCAGATGAAAATCACTAATCTGGAGTTGTTTCGGAATGCGTTGAAAATTATTTGAGTGGGTACTGGAAATGTTCTAAGCCCACATACATATTTTCAGTTCGAACGGACGCTGAAAAATGTTGTCGTGAATAGTGAAAGTGCTTTTTGGGATATTTATGGAAAGCCACCTTTTGGGGCTTTTCCCAAAAGGCTTCTAGAAGGACTTGGGGATCAAGGAACCCCCTTTGGGGGGCATGAAGGTGGGACGTTGGAGGGTGCAGCTCCTCCATGGGGCTCCACTTGTCATCTCTTTATGCCCTTTATGCCCTTTATGTGTGACATAAAGTGTGGGCATTTTTGGGGTTTTTTCATGTGTCTCCTACCCCTTGGGTTTTCCTATAAATAGAGGTGGAGAGGCACTCTCCACACTCACTCCTTGCTCTCATACAAATGTCATGCTGACTCTCTCTCTCCCTCCCAATGAAATAGTTTCGTAGAGCCAAAAGGTTGTCTGGGTTCCGGCAGGAACTAGTTCTGGACGGCGAAGCCCTGCCGAATAGATGACACCGTATATGTGCAACTCTATAGAGAGATCGTAGTTTCGGTCTTAGTTCGGGAGTGCCTCCCGAAGGGCTGTCCAAGTGACTGTCCGAGTTCTGTGAGTCCTCCCGAAGGGCTGTCTGAGTGACCGTTCGAGTTTTGAGGGTCCTCCCGAGGGGCTGTCCATGACACCGCCCAAGGGACTGTCCGACCGCCTCCCGGAGGGCTGTCCGTAGGGCGGATGAGTGTATACATCCTCGTGGTTGGGAGGTTGTAAATCCTAGCTGCAGGGATCTACACCGCCGTTCGTCATCGACTCTACTTCTGCTGTGCTACGAGTCGGTAACGAAAAAGATCAAACCTTGTATGCAGTCTCCATAGTGGTCCTGGGCTGGTGCGTAAGTCGGAATTTTTTGTTTTCTGCTACGTTTCCCTACACGTTGGCGATGGCCTGGAAGTAGGCTGTGTTGGCGTCACCCTTGAGGACCCACTTTTGGGTCCCCCGTAGGCGCCGGTAGGCCTCCTCGTCGGAGTAGATGACCATATGAGTTGGTCCTCAAGGTCATAACGAAGCATCCACTCATCAGGGGCTAGTCCCACCGAGTCGGCCTGGAAGTCTAGCGCTTGGATGGAGGTGAGGAGGGCCTTCTTGCGATCCCGCAGGCCCCGTCCAAGGTCCGCGCCCCAACCCTTCATGAACTGGCGAGAGCGCTTGGCACAGAAGTGCCAGTCATCCACCGCAGAGATGGACCTGTGGGGGGCGAGCCGGGCCTCCAACCAGCGGGCCCGAACGGCCTCAGCGAAACCATTCTAGTTAAGCCAGTAAGTTTCGAAGCGAAACCTGAGCGCGGTGGGTGGGCGATCATCCTGGGAGGACAGGAGCAGAGGGATGTGATCCGAGCCTATACGGGTGATGGCTCGGAGGGAGGCAAGGGGGCGGCGAAGCTCCCACTCAGGCGAAACCAAGACGCGGTCGAGCACGGAGCGGGTCGGGTCTGCCTGGTGATTGGTCCACGTGAATCTGGCACCAACCCTATCTAATTCCCTCAGGCCGAGATCGGCGATGCAGTCATTGAACATCTGCATCCGAAGAAAGTTAACTAAATCGTTGCTCTTGTCACTGAGGGGGCCCTCTCCGTTCACTAAATGAGTTGCCAACAAAAAACTTCATGAGTCCCTTATCACTGAGGGAGCCCCCTCAGCCTTTCCTTCCCCACTCGGTTTTCTTATTGCTTCAATTCGGAGATCTCCATTAGGAAGCTCTTCCTTAATAGTTTGGACCTTGGCTTCCGCCGCTCGCAGTTCACGGTGAAGTTATCTAGGCGGCAAGATCTTGTTGTCATCTTCCCAACTCTCTCTCTCTCTCTCTCTCTGTGGGAATTTCTCAATCAAATCGCTCTAAGCTAAGCTAATGCAGGGGCATTGCTCTCGAGGTTCAAACGAGTTTGGAAGGCTCATGTGCCTCCCAAGATTAAGGTGTTCTTGTGGATGGTCATTCGTAAGCGCTTACCGGCTACTGAGTGCCTTAGGCCATCTACGATGGCAAGCGCTTGGATGGGCGTTTACAGGAAAATAAATAAATAGATTTTGGCTTAGCGGCTGTATTGGGAGTCCATACCTCCAACGCAAGCGCCGCGTTGTATATCTCCTTAAGCCCTTATATCTCTAAAAAAAAAAAGAGGTCCCGTACCCAATCTAAGAAAAAATTGTTCCGTTAAGAACTGCCTGAAAACTTCAGATACATAACAGACAGTAACAGCAGCACACGCTCACACAGACATGCAACAGCTCCCTACAGTCCTACACCATCGTCATCGTCGTCTCATCTACCTGCGGCAGCTGCGTCACGTGGCGCCGGCGTCGATCCACTTGACGGTCACGAAGAGCTCCCCGGACTCGACGTCGCGCAGCCGCAGCCGGGAGTCGAGCACGATCTCGCCGTCGGCGTAGGTCACGAAGCTGTCGGAGAGCAGGCAGTTGTCGGCGGTCGGCGCCACCTTCCGGAGCCTGGTCTCCCCTGTGGTGAGCTTGAGCGCGCGCCGCAGCTTCGTCGCGGCCGCCACCGGCTGCAGGTCGATGAAGGCGTGGCCCATCTTGTCGTCGTACTTGAACCGGTCCCGGTCGAACACCTCCTGCCAATACCAACGCAATCACGCACGGTTGTTCAGTCGACCAGGCCAAGAAAGTTGTAATGTCAGTTCAAAGTAGCCTTAAGGTCTTGTTAACTCTGGTGGTATTTGGTTCACAAGCTAGCAAGAAGTGTCTGAAGAAAAGTTTCGGTAGCTGGGCTGCTGCTGTAGGTGACATTTCTTTGTCAGGCCACTGTCGCTGTTTGTGCCTGATGATGACGAAGCTCGAAAATGATGTTTTTGGGAAAACTATCTGCTCAGAAAAACAATGGAGGATCGCAGATGCCGATGAAACCTCACGCTGAACGTACTGTCGATCAACATCGGCTATGCAACTTGCACCGGAAATCGAATGGTTGGTAAAAACTCGGGCTCAACGGTACAACGTATGTCTCCCAATGATGCTACACGTCTCTAGCATACCCAGCACAAGCAAGTCACCACACGCACCTCAAATTGCAGTAGTGTGAACTAAAACCACGACAATTATTTTGGAACGAAGGGAGTACTAATTACTGATAGTAATCATTACTAATTTACCAAGGGATTTGCAAGGAGCCACTCCAGTGACCCTATTTAGCTCCAGACACTGACCATCTAGGCCCACTTGAAATCCGTCTCGCAATGCTCCAGTGACCTAGTTGGTTAGAATCCATAAAATGGGAGAGGAATACCCTAAAGCGAGAGGTCTGGACAAGATTGTCTAGTTTAACTTTCTGACATTTGACCAAAATACGTGTAGTTCCATCAATTGTAATGAAAAATGCTCAGCAGCAAAGAAAATACGCCACACGCTCAAACGAGGGTCAAAGGAAAGTCTCAGCTTATAAGGGGAAGAGGCCACAAGAAAAATTAAGGCCACATGCTCTCTATTCTTTGACCGGACCTCCAATTTTCTTTGACGCCATACCGGATTAAATTATGGGACTGCATATGCTTGTGGACTAATAGTTTTTAGTAAGCATTGGTCTGTTCACACTTCATGTATGTCTTATACAAGCAATATATACTAGACTTTTTTGTCTTCATGAAGATACCGACAAACGAGAAAGACTTGCTAATAGAAAATAAAAAAACATATGATGCTTATTCAGAGCTGAAACATGCTTCGAGGAAGCTGAAGGCATGTCGAACACAATCATACTAAATAGTCAGGTTCTTTTATTCGAGAAAGAAACCGATGGGCCAAAGAAACATGGCAACTTACAAGTTTGATGATCCCTAGAGGTTCCCTGATGGAGAAGACCATCTCTTCGTTCCAAACTGGATTGAGGCAACTGTTGATGACTTTTGTCTTTGCACTCTGCAGGTAAAAAAGGTAACGAATAACGAACGGTATTAGAGGTCGACAAAGGACATTGTCCACCCATAAAGAAATGCACACTTGCTTGATAGATTTCACATGTACCAAACCAAATTACTAGCTCAAAGTGAGATATCCTTGTAACATGTATAGGACTATTGAGTGGCGACTGAGAGCTCTCAGTTTTTATATATGACCGGCAGCAGTATACATAGATAAGTATAAAACCATTCAATGAGCCTCATGCAAGTTGAGAACTTTCCTGTTTGCTGACATCATTGAGTATTCAGTGTCAGCAGTTTAGGGTTTTCTCATCATAATCTCACACTCTTGCTTTTGAACTATACTTTTTCTTAGAAAATTTGAAATGTGGACATGTGGTCAAAACAAAAAAATTTGGTAAAAAGGAAAAGAGACCCAAGTTGAAGCCAAAACGCTTTGGAGATGAAGGAAAAAAACAAGTGAGCATTGGCTTGGTAAAGGATGAAGAAAATTCGCTCCAATCAAAGGTGCCACCCACGAAGACAGACAAACATGCGCGTGATTGTCATCGTCATTACATGATTAACAAATGCGCGAGTGGATTTGGCAACGTAAGATGTCTGAAAAACCGAAAGTTGAATTGGCTGGTAAAAAAGAAGGGTATGTAAGTCATAAACTGTATTATTGAGGAAAAAGCTTTTGACAAAATGTTTCGCTTTAGGCTGGCAGTTGGATTTATTTAAGATTGATAAACACACTTGCCACTCTCTTCACAAGATTCTTTGCTTTTACTTGTATAGACAGTGAAGTTATGTGTAAGAATGGTTTAACACAAGGGCGCTGAATTAAGTATGGCATGCCGACTGACAGGCCAACCAAAACAATGTTCAACTTCAACATTGGACCCAAGAGAAAGCACGTGCTTGGACTATCTACCTATCTGTAAAAGAGGTGAATCAAGCAAACAAACAGAAGGCACTAGAATCCATCCATGTATTGTTGAGTAGGTGCTCAACTCAAGCAAACAGACAGGGCGTAGGATGTAATTTATGCAAGACTGGGTGGGCAGGGCAGACCTTGTCTGCGAGGCGGACGACGACGTAGGGGTCGCTGGAGGTGAAGTCCCTGATGGCGAGGTTGGTCCCCTGCGCCACCACCACCTTGAGCACGCCGGGCCGCGCCCCCCTCCCCTCCGCCTCCTCGTTCATCCTCTGATCGATCTTGCAGATCCCTCGCTCCCTCCCTGAACGGAAATCAAACCAGTTGGCTTCACATGTACTACTCCACGATAATCACAAGAACCGGGCAAGAATCGACCGATTGTTTCCGTTCACGCAGAGAGAGGAAGAGTGAAACCTACCTTGCCTTGCCTTGGTTGAAGAGTATGTATGCTTCTACTGGGCTCTGCCTGCGG